GGGTTTCGGGTTTAGGGCCAAGTTTAGGGGTTCAGGGCTTAGGGATCAGCAGGTCATGCTGGGCTTTGCCTTCCTTCCGGTGGTGCAGCTCTCTGCCGGTGAGGCTTCTGACGGCAAGGGCTTCTTTACGGGTCAGGGCAAAAAGCGCGGAAATAAGGCTGGCCGTTCGAGTTTTAGGCTCTAAACCTCGAGGTACGGAGTCTAGCAGCCCGGAGACAGTCCAAGTAGGTCCGTAGGTATCATCTCGTGTGCAGGAGATCCACCACAGTTACAGCTTGGGGCTTGCAGATTCTGAAGCTGTCCTTGACCTAACGACCTGTTGACCTATCATATGGCCGTTAGAATTGGAACTGGCTCAGAATAGGGTCTTGGCGTATAATTATGATGGTACAAGTATATCGTTTCGATCATTCCGACCTCGGTGTTGGACCGCTAAGCTTGAGCTTGCACTTGGCCCGACATCCTTCATCCCTTCACAGAACCCTCCCTAAACCCTAAACCCGCAACCCTTCACAGACTCACGTCCTAAACCCCAAACGCAAAACCCTTCAAAGAATCCTGGGCCACGAACTCAAGGTCTGCTTACCCCAGTCGCAAGAACCAGGCACGTCAGGTCCACGCGGCCCAAATGATTTCATGAACCCAAGGTTTAGGGTTTAGGGTTTAGGGTCTAGGGTTTAGGGTTTAGGGTTGAGGGTTGACAAGGCAGAAAACGTAGCAAATTCCGGACCTGATGCCCATAGGAACGACATATACGTCGCATACGCGCCGTAATAAGGCGCTGCATAAGCCGAAACAGTTTGGGTTTAGTGTTTAGGGTTTAGGGTTCAGGGTTTAGGGTTTAGGGTTTAGGGTATCTCGATCCGGACCTCCAAAACATCCCCAATCACCACAGCCCCAAACCCAAGACCCTAGACCCTAAGACTTAAATCCCTTAACCCTAAACCCTTGCCCCCCTAACCCCTAACCCCTAAATCCTGAAACCTTATGCAGCCCCTGAACTTCGACCCACAATCCTGAGGCCCTGGAATCCCAAAGTACCCTCAACCACAAGGCCGCCTTAAAAGCCGTTGCGCCCTGAAGCCCAAAAGCCCCCTGAACCCGAAACCCCTAACCCTCAAAAACCCCGCACAAAACCATACCCCCTCAGCCCTGAACCCCTAAACCCTAAACCCTATCTTGTTAGGGTTCCTTACTATGATTTTTTTTATATAAGTCCTTCAAAAGGTAGGTCATTTGGGGTTAAGGTAGGCTCAATCCCTAAACCTTAAACCCTAAACCCTAAACGGTAAACCCTAAACCCTAAACCCTAAACCCCAATCTCCAAGCTCTTGCAGGCACCCAGCTCTGGAATGCTCTTGCCAGGGGAGCCGCTCTCCTTCGGCCACTCGGCCGCGCTGCAAGATCTCATGGGTTGAGCCTCGTTTTCTTTTGGGGGGTTTAGGGTTAGGGTTTAGGGTTCAGGATTCCAGGTTTAGGGTTTCGGTGGGGCTCTTGGGGTTCAGACTTTTCGGGCTTTGGTCTTTGGTGTTTGCATGCTCCGAGTTTCAGGCTCCAGGTTTTCGTGGCCCTGGGGTTGAAGAGTTTTGGGGTTTGGGGTTTAGGGTTTAGGGTTTAGGGTTTGGGGTTTGGGGTTTAGGGTTTAGGGTTTAGGGTCTAGGGTTTAGGGTTTAGGATCCAAGACCCTGGAAAGAGTTAATATACGGGCCTCAATAATTGCCTGTATTTTTTGGGGGGTTCCTTATTAAATGATAATTCAATGAATAAATACATAAATAAATAAATATAAATAAATAAATAAATAAATATGTATATATATATATATAAAGTGGAACATACCCCACAACCCTGTTCTCATTGCTAAGGCCCCTATATTAATGAGCAATTGTCCACAGGGTGATCGTGGTACTGAGCATGAACTGGTTCATGACGGCTGCAGCAGCCCAGCAGCAGCTCAAGGTTACAGTGCCTCTTGCTACACAGGGCAGGAACTGTCTAAAATTTAGGTTTACAGGCTGGGTACGGGGGTTTAAGACTCTGGTAGTTTTGAGCGAGAAAGTACCGCGCGAAATATACGCACTGTCGAGTCAACGCAAGCCGCATAAACCCTCCGGACCCTCCAGCGACACCTCCTGTCACATTGCTCTTCCTCTTCCCGGATTTGTCTTCGTCTACTCTGGCTTTCCTTCTGTCATTCAGGCTCCGCGTTTCGCCTTGGCGAGGAGCGCAGTCCTGATTTTCGCTTGGCACCTTGCGAGCTGAGCAGGTTTTGCCTTTTTCGGTTCTTGTTGTCGGCCGTGTTCTTTCAGCGGCCCGCTTCTGGTGGCTTTTTGGTTTCATGGTTGAGGGAATTGTGCTTTGGACCTTTATTTTTTGAGTTTCTGTGTTGCGTTTTCGACACTAGGAGCAACGCAGCAGAGAGTAGGTTGCTAATGTAGAGAGTTGCTCGGGCTTTCGATGCAGTCAGTGAGTTCGGAGTTCTCGAGATCGGTAGCAATTGCGGGGCCTCAAGCTTGCAGTGCCTTTGGATCCAGCATGAGGCCGCTTTCGCTTTGGAACGTGTTAACGGGGGCCTAGAATTTTGAATCGTGTTTTTGGGGTATGTTCTATTGAGATTCTATTGTTATATATATATACACACATATAGTAGCCCTCAGGAAAACTCTAGCTATGAAGGCTCTTATATTGCCTATATCAACCTTAGGCCCTGAACGGTCTATTACGGTACAGCTCGGTAGCTTAGCTTTTTGGCTTGGTCGTAACTTGTTTTTGCTTATTCGTGCTTTTCTTCGTGACATTTCCGAAGGCGGCAGTGGGGGTGGGCGAGGCAACTAAGCGACCCACAAACCCCTAAACCCTAAACCCTAAACTCCGAACGCTGAACCCAATACCCCGAAACCCCTAAAACCATAACTCCACCATAAACCCTAAACCCAAAGCCCTTGACCCTTAAACCCTAACGCGAAGAAACCCCTAGCCCAAACCCAAAACCCTAAACATCTTGACCCTGGCATTCAGTTAGGGGCAGTGTTTAACTCAGCGTGCACCCTAAACCCCAAGCCTACAAACCCCTAAACCCCTAAACCCATAAATCCCCCATCAACCCTGAATCCTGGTAGTTCTCTCTAAACCCAAAACCTTCGTAATGCTGTAACTTGCAAGGCTTGAAGCCTCTAGAGAACCCCAGGTGGTCACAAACCGCAGACGCTGTCTTTCACAGCATGTGCGGTTTATGACAAACAAGAAGCTATACGTAAGCAATGATTTGTATATCACTCCTGCTACAGATCCAAAAAAGCACGAGTCAGCAAGAACAAGTCCCGACTAGCCGATTCCACTGAAAATGGCAAAAGTGACGACCAAGCAGAAAGAAAGCTTACAACTAAGCGTGCTTCCCCTCTTCCGCCTGTGGCACCGGAAGAACTCTCACATTTTCCGAGTCTATACAGCGATGTGGAGAAGGGAGTACGGGCTGCGTTTTGGGATCTAGGGTTCAGCCCTAAAGGCGAAAGCCTTATCGAAAACTGAAGCCCTGAAACCTACATGCTAAAGCGAGGTTTCGAGTGCACCCAACATCGAAGCCCAGGTCATGTGGGAGAAAGCCATTTACTGCATCTGTGCCGGGGCCAAGAGCTTCATCCTCTTCTTCGTCCGCGACGTGCTGAACATCACCCGAGGGTCTGACCAGGCTAGGGTCTAGGTTTTAGGATTTATTTTTAGGACTTATTTCAGTCGTTTATCTACGTTTTAGGATTTATTTTTAGGACTTATTTTCAGTCGTTTATCTGGGTTTTAGGATTTATTTTGGGACTTATTTCAGTCGTTTATCTGGGTTTTAGGATTTATTTTGGGATTTGTTTCAGTGGTTTATCTGGATGTTTTTTTTTGTGAAACGTCCCAAGGTTGCTATTACTAGCATTGCTGCTCAGTAGCTTTGCTATTCTTTATAGCTGCTAGTCTATGCTTACCGGCGTTGCAGACATGTTTTCGGGAGTATGATTCATTGATTGCAGGCTTGTGGGTTGAGCTTGGGATTTGCAGCTTGGGATCAAGCGTGCAGTTCAAAGCACGGGACGTCGGGGGTAAGGGGGGGGGTTGTAGACGTCGGGGATTAAGCTTTTGGCACTAACCGTCGAAACTCCAAGCTGCTAAAGAAAGGCCCCCTAAATTGCAAACTCTCAACCCTCAGCCAAAGCGTCTACTTTAGGGGACGTCATAAGTGGAACAGGATTTCGGGGATATATTCTACGATATAAACAGACTGGAACCCTCAGCAAACCTATTCCTATTGATGACTTGGAGGTTCATGGGTAGTGCCCGGAACCCCAGGCATAGCCCCTAAGCACGAAGCCAAGAAACGGCTTGCAGGCATTGCTGCTGGCGGAAGCCGCCCTGAGCAACGTGACCGCTGCGGCAGCAGGCCCGTACGGCCCTTTTCGGCTTACGGACTGTGAGGTTCAGAGCTCTTCAGTTTCAGTTCAGAGTTCCGGCCTTACTGCTCTGGCCTGGCTTCCTGGATTGAGGTTGAAGGGAAGCTTAGGAGTACTGTAAGAAGAGCCTGGGAGTAGAAAGACTCATAAGTACTGAGGATGTTCGAGGTACCTCTTGTACTTCCAGTGGCCACCGCCCCCGCCACCGCCAGCAGCATCAGCAGCAGCAGCAGCAGCAGCAGCAGCAGCAGCAGCAGCAGCAGCAGCAGCAGCAGCAGAGAATCAGCGTCACTATCACCTTCGTCTGTCTGGTGCTTAGTAGGGAATGGGGGAATGGATCCCTATGATAGTCCGTTAAGGTCCCTCCAAGTAGTCCCAATAACCCATTGCCCCATTCCCTACTAAGCACCAGACAGTCGTCGTTTCGTGTCGTACTGCAAGGTGGCTTCCTTTCCTCGTGGCTCTTCACCCGCTTTCACATCCAAGCCCAGCGGCTGGCAACTGGGCTGTGGCGAGCGCCGGGAGTCGGGGCTTTTGCCCTAAACCCTACCCTAAAGGGGTTATATAGGGGAGCTTTCAGTATCTCTGCCACTTTTCCTGGAGCCGTCGTCTTTCTTGCTTTGTGCCCAAGCAATCTAGCTCTGAAGTAGCCCTGGTTTTTAAGCTCCTAGGTAGTATTAGGGAGACCCCTTCAAGGTTCTTAACGCTACGTATGGCTCCCTTTTAAAAGGGACCTTATTGAGAGGGTCTATATTCCCGAGGGTCC